TTCTATTGGTGCGCTACGGACCTCTTGGAACAGATATGCAGTGATGGGTGTTGCATCGTCATCGTCACCGTCTGTGAAAACTAGTGGACAACCAATCCTGCTTGGTTGCTCAGTCTCAAGCCTCATGACCATGAGCCACCATGAGGACGCCTTGAGATGTTCCCATGTTGCAGCGTCATTCAATCCCCACAATTTCGGGTTTTCATGTGGTATTGACTAATGACAACGTCAGGTGAAATGAGTCTCCACGCATCTTACTATCATATATTCAATCCATTTCAAATTGTAAGACGTTTAACTTTTTTGACACCAAATTTGATAACTCGTCTTATTCAAAAATTTATGTAAAATATCACTTCTTTCGTCGTGATTTGGTTTATTAATAAAAATTCTTCAAGAATGACTTAAATTTGACTATATTTATATAAATTTTTTAAATAAGACGAGTGGTCAAACTTGGGGTCAAAAAAGTCAAACGTCTTACAATTTATGATGGAAGGAGTACTTATCAGCCTGCGCTGTCTGATGCCAAAGTCATTATAATCTGCAACATAAGTGTAATTAATAGCAAAGACAGTCAATGATTTCAAACGCAAGAGTGGAAAATCAAAATGAATGTAACAGGAATACAAACTAAGCAAATAATTGCATAACACAAGAAAATAAGATGAAATTATTATTTTACTAACTGTACAACTCCCATTATAGAAGTAGTAAAAAGTGGAACTGCTTCCAGAAATCCCCAAGCCGACACGGTAAAAAATTAAGTACAGAAAAAAGGGATTAATAAGCAAAGGCCTAGATGCAAAAGAGAGAGAGAAAAGGAGGATGGAAGAGTACTCCCTCAATCTTTTTTTTTCAGACGTTAATCAGATCAATTTTGAGCTAACCAGCGACAAACACATGGGAATCGAGGTAGTACAAGAATAAGTACATGAAATCAAGCATTACTCGCAGCAACTGAAAAGAGGCAAAAGTAAATAATTAAACTATAACACAACAAATAAGATTTATTCCCCTGTTTCAAATTATAAGGCATTTTAGCTTTTTTAAATACATTACTTTTACTATATATTTAGACGTAGTGTATATCTAACTACATAACAGCAATGTGTCCAGAAATGTTAAAACGTCTTGTAATTTAGAATTGAGGGAGTAGGAGACTGGCATGGCTACCTTGCCCTCACTTTACTCCATCATTGCCTCTACCTTCTCTCTATGCATAGGGGCAGGGTGAAGCCCTAGGACCTGCCCCCCCCCTCTTCCACCCTAGGGTCGTCTCAACAATTTCAAGGCCTCTTGGACAAGCAAGCGGTTGGTGCCTAGCAATATAAATCTTTTAGGGCCTGCTTGACATGACTTCGGCTCCTGCAGCAGCTTCTACGGAGGAGCTGTACCCAACAATTTAGAAAGATGATCTGTTTTCTGGTGAATAGTAGAGGAGTCAGGGCTAATTTGGGGATTTTAGGAGCTACAGTTTGTGGCTCCGACTTCTCTCGAAGAGCACTTGAAGATGAGCCATGCAAAACAAGACCTTAATATGACGATTAAAGTGCATAGTACTACCAATAAAAGTTAACTTGCAGCATACGTTGGAAACGAGCGGGAATAGTCAAATATTGGAATAGAAAGCGACGAACAGGCTAATTCCATGTTAGTTATGCTCAGTATATGAGCCTTTAAATTTTTATTTCAATGAACCAAATACATATACTAAGTACTATATACATACATATACTCGTGGTCCCCTCGTGGCCCTCCCCTTCCCCCTCCCCACCCAACCCCACCTCCCCGCGCATAAGGGTGGGCGTTCGGTTCTCGGTTCGGTTTCGGTTCGGTTCTCTCGGTTATTGATGAAATTCGGTTCCTGGAAAATGGGAACCGATCGGTTCCAAAAAAATTTAGGAACCGAGCATTTTGGTTCTCGGTTATTTCGGTTCGGTTCCGGTTCTAACCGAACTAACCGAATTTTTTCAAAAGACCTGTTGTAAGGCAAATTTATGCAACACTGTGTTCATTTTTCATAATAATAATGTATAAAAAACAATAGCAATACAATAACACAAATATATAGCAGTTCAAATATAAAACACTACACATAAACCAAACATAATCTTACAAATACAAGTAAGTGAAGTATAATTCATGTAATTCGGTTCTTTCGGTTAATTCGGTTAACCGAGAGTAGGAACCGAATTTTCTTCGGTTATTTCAGTTCCTCAATATCAGGAACCGAATAAGGAACCGAATTTTTTGGTTCCGGTTCTTTCGGTTTCGGTTCCGATTCTTTCGGTATGGTTTTCGGTTTTCGGTTAAATTTGCCCAGGGCGACCCGCGCATTGAGTGCTTGGTGGCACAGACAATTGGATATAAATGGAGCGAGAAACAATCAAGTCAGAGATAAAAGTCCTATTCCCATTAAATAATCTTTTAAGCCCTTATAACTCAAGAAAGGTATTTATAATAGTACAAAAGTATATGGAACGTCCATAATGAAAAAAAAATACTACACGAACAATTTAATCAAATTGATAAACAAAGCACAAGCACATGATAACTATTCACAAAAATAAATAAAAAGCATGACAACTTGTGAAGATCGCCTGCTACTTCTTACCCTATAGATGGTATAGCAATTTCAAAAGTATTATTAAACAAGAGAGTATATATAATTTCAAACATTATGCTAGAGATTTAGAAAACCACTCCTTATAGTTCCATGATTCCTGTTGTTTGGGGCAAGGTTAAGCTTAAAATCTTGAAACTTTAACTATCAACTTATAAAATATTAAATATCTAATTTGAAAACACTAAGACAACATGTATAGATTATTCTTAAAGTACTTAGTAGAGAGTCATAGTCAAATATATGTTTTAGAGCCATGTTGTCCAAAACGACAAGAACTATAAAACTAAAGGGAGGAAGAAAGTGTTGGGTGCATTAGTTAGGTCAAAGGGCATTACTAATCACTCATACAAACCAAACTTATTTTTAAACATTATTTTCCATTCATCTCCTAACTTCATGCGTATTCGGTGGTATCCACTATACACGAATCAACTTTAGAGAAACCCGTTGACTCGTTGAGCCACTTAATCCAACGGGCTATCATTTATCCTAGACTAAATCAAGCTAGAGACACGAGCCTAGGCAAAAAGGTAATTAGGTAATCATAGAACAAAGTAAAAGGCACAAGGAAGGTAGTAGAACAATAGCCAGCCCTTTCATGTTTACTTCATGCTCCTTTTACATCCTCTCTTTTTTCTCTTTTTCCATTTTTTTGTAGGAGCAGCACAATTCTACCCTTTGCACAAAGTAGATCAGATCAAGCTACCTCAGAACATACGCATTTTCTAAATAGGGGTAAAAAAGGTAAAAGGAAGATTCTCTCTCTCTCTCTCTCGGGAGAGAACCTAGATTTGTTAGTGATGCTAGATTAGTTGATGGGAGTTGTTGGATTGCCCCTTCCTCCTTAGACCTTTGAGGAATCAAAGGTAAAAGTGAGACATGGAAAATCCAATAGGAATGAAGATAGCTGAAGGCTAGGGTGGCAACCTGAAAAGGGATAGATATGAAGTGGAATGGAAGAGAGAGGAAAGACCAGGGGGTCACTTGTAAATTTTACCTAGCCAGCGGTGGACACATGATCCTCACGTGCTCTCTCTTCCACACTGGATGCTGACATTGCTTGCCACGTAGGATCTAATGGCCTGGCGAAGGCTTATGGACCCACAGTGAACTACTTAAAAAGTTTATATACCAAAAAATATATTTTGAGAGTTGATGGACCTAAATGACACCCGTCCAAAAGTTGAAGGACCTTGCTGTATTTTACTCTTTTTTATTTGTTTTTGTGAATAGTTATCATGTGCTTGTGATTTGTTTATCAATTTGATTAAAATTGTTCTTGTAGAAATTTTTTTGTTATTATGGACGCCTGAGCACATGACGATTTTCTCAAGTGGCTAAGAAGTCAAGTTAAATTTATTTATTTATACATGCACGCGACCACCTACAGTTTGGGACAAGTAAATTTTTCTCAAGTATGACCCTCACCATTTATGTCTCCAGAAAAAATTACTGTAAAAATATATTTTGTAATTAATCTAATAATATTTATTTGATATTTTTTTTAAATTTTAATCAAATTTAAAATTATTTGATTCCTCAAAAAACAATAATTGTACTCAGAAGGAATAACCGAAGTACCATTACAGTATTTCAGCTTGTACTCAGACGGAAGAACCGAAGTACCATTACAGTATTTCAGCATGCGTAGCTATAGGCGCCGTTCGGCTGACACGAAATGCAGCTGAAAATCACTGTTCAGAGTTGAAAAATACTGTTAACCGAAGTACCATTACAGTATTTCAGCTTGTACTCAGACGGAAGAGCCGAAGTACCATTACAGTATTTCAGCATGCGTAGCTATAGGCGCCGTTCGGCTGACACGAAATGCAGCTGAAAATCACTGTTCAGAGCTGAAAAATACTGTTCACTCTCTCACAAATTCCTCCACACGTGGAAAAGGAGAATAAGATGCGCCGTACCTAGGCAGTACGGAGTTGGACATAGGGGCTGTACATCACTGGGAAATGGGTCCAGAGGACATGATCAGCTACAATTCGTACCATTCAACAAATATACTACAGCAAAAGGGCATCGATTGTTGTTGGAATGTTGGCACGGTAAAGATGGCAAATAACGTAAAAAAACTACAATACCAGAAGCCACCACATCTCAAAATCTACCAATAGATTGCAATAATAATCAGGACCGAAATGATTTGGGTTAAACGAAAGAATGTTGACAGCAAATCTGTTATAACACAATGAAAGAAGACAAGCGGTCGCTTCTCAATATTCGACGTCAGAGCAGTCGAAATCTCCAAATCTTCCACTCATCCCTCCTGTTAGATCCGGCAGAGTATAGCCCTTTTCACCCACAGCATAGTAACTTTAAAACCCCCCTCACCAATGCTATCATCACCTACTACTATCTATGCCCCGTTCCTGCCTTTTTTCGACTTGTTCTTTTTTTCCCGTGTCTTCTTTTTCTTCTCTTCAGGTGTTGTCCACACGTAATCGGAAGGAATGGCAAATGGGTCCTGGATGTCCTCCACGCGGCTGCTTGGGCCCGGTGCTGTCGAGAAGTTCTGGCGGTAAGGCGCCTTGATCCACTGAATCCAGGAGCTTGAAGAAGGCTGCACTGCTGGGCTCTTGCTGTTGTCAGGACTTGAAGGTGGTGTGGTGAACTCCTCCAGCGGCTGTAGCTCTTCAAATTTTGTGAATGTCACAAGCACTCTGATTGTAGGCACAACTGGAATAGCAACCTGAGGGAAAAATTCATTACTGAATTATACATTGACTATTACAATGGCACAGAAAGGATTATAACTGCAGGAAAGAAATTGTTATTCAACAAAGAGCAAGATTAGATAAAAGTATATTTCTGCAGTGGGCAACAAACAGGACAAATTAGTTTTCTCAATCTAAACATGCATGATTCTTAGTTGCATCGATTTTTCTGAAATTATATACCAGCATCTGTTGAATGGATACTTCAACGAAGATTGCATATATCAATACACGAACCGTTGAATTAGAACTAAAGTCCAAACAAATGAATCAGGCAAACTATCTACGTTTTTCCTCTTGTATTTGAATGCTGTCTACTTGATCCTACTGCCTGTTTCCAGAGCATGCTGCCATATGAAAGTGCAATTAGTTTTTTTACCAAGCCTGCATACATCTATAGTACTTAGGAAAAAAAATATAAAATACAAGCATCTAAGAGCAACGTTCCTGTTAACAAATGAGTGGATAACAGTATACACTAGATGTAATAACAGTATACCTTATTACAGATTAGTAAGTAAAACATGGATAACACTAGATGGTACTATTTTCCTATGAAAAATTGTATCCTATTTCACTCATCTGATCCCCTAGATTCATATTTATGTTGCCTCTATGGGATTCCCTCACCCATTCCAATAAAAGTCTAATATTAGGCTAATGCTCCCTACTTGGCAGATATGGCATGAAAGATATACCAACATAGACATGTAGAACCACACCAATAATAACAAAAACAGGAACAATGTAACAATATCAATATCAGCAATCTAGAGAACGATGCATTGTTGCAAAGTGTAAACTGTAAGGTTGTCTTGTTACCAACTCCAATACCTAACTAAAATTATATAGAATGATCCATTTGAATCATAAGTATAGAACTTCATGCCTTGCATTGAAAATTTAGGCCCACATTATATTCTACTTCAAACTGAAAATAGAACCTTTCAAGACAAAAATAACATTAAACAGTTTCTGCTACAAATGAATATGACGTCTAAAGCAGGTCTGTAATATCAATAGTCACTCACCTGATAAACCCTATGGTCTACAGTAATTTAAATTGATCCTGAATCTGATTTTAAAACTTATTTTTCCTAAGGCAGCCAATATTGGAGCTAAGATTTGATAAAATCAACAATATAGACACCAATTTGCACCAAACTTCCCCATGCATATTGATAGATGTTAGTTTTTCATCCATACAAAGTATGGCTCAATCTTAAGTTGACAAAGGTATATATATTCCATGATATTCATTGGTACGGAGATCTCCAACAGAAAACTCCTTTCAAAGCTTAAAACTAATAGTATGAGACTGCAATATAAAATCATCTAACTACTCATTGCCTACTACAGTAGTAGAGGACCACATTAACTAGGTAAGAAGTGACCATCTATCAGAACAGGATATGAATATATGAACAAGGTATCCCTAAAACATTTTAGCGACCATACAAGTGGTAAATGCTCTGAATTTGATCAGTAAACAAACACAAAAAAGGGACTCTCCAAGTATGATATTACAAAGATTCATTAACATAAATATCTGGCCTAGTAGAGAAACTTGATTGTATAAAATCTACCTTGCTACCTACTTTATCCTAGTCCACTACTATAGAGACTGCATGTTAAGCTTCATATCATTGTTGTTTCCTTGCACAAAACAGGATACAAAAAAGTTTAACAGCCAGAATCAATTTTAGACTAAGAGCACATGTTTCATACATCCTCTGTGCAACCAATCTAACACCCAAAAAACACTTTCTGTCTATGAATTATGAAATGTCACCGACAGTACAATTTCATTGTGCCCAATGGACAGAAATTATCGGATTTATGAAAGAGAATAACCAGGTCAACAATTATGTACAAACTGCAGCACATAATGACAGAAATTTAGATAGCTACGAAGGTATAAATATGTCGACTACTGCAAGATGGCTCTCCAATAGTTCTGAAACAAGCTCATGTCTTCAAGCATGCAGGGTAATTAATCTATACAGTGGCGATTTTTCTGACTACAGAAACTGACACAAAATTGAGTGTTAAACTAGATATGAAACAATCAAGGTGAATTAACAGCACACATAATGGAGGGACAAACTGTAGAGAAGGTATTGCATCTTGAAACATGTATCAGATCATACCTTGACTGGAAATGTTCCTGGAGGGAGTTTTGTTGTAAGTAGATCCCTCAAACGACGAATTGCCTTCACCTTGTTTGCAAGAATATCAAGCAATGGCAGCAGCTCCTCAGTCCGAAGAGGGAAATTTGGAGAGAGCCAGAGAACAGGCCTTAGTCCTTTCTTATACTCGCTTTCTTTGGAACCTTCTTTGCGCCTATGCTCATTCTCCGCAGAAGCAACATGTCTCCTATTATCCCTTTCCCTGATCCTTCTGTTGTCATCTGCTCTGACTACATCTACCGAATGCCTTCCTGGTCTTGTTTGTACATTTGAGGGCGATTCAATGAGGAGGTCGCTCACCTTCTCATCTACACAGAGCGAGCTCCTTGGAGGTGCCATCTTCTTCACCCCTTCTGGCTTGCTAACCTGACTTCTCTTTCCCCAATTACTGAACCAACCTTTCTTGTCATGCTTACTCTCTCCAATTCCAGAAACACTCATGTCCTCAATCGGTATCTCCCTCTCCCTTGGCTCAACGCAACTATGTCGAGGACCAGCAAATGAGTCAGACTCCCCACCGGCATCTGGAGAATCCATTTTTAGAGCGGCCTCCAACTGCTTCTTCTCCTCCTCTGTCAGAACATCATCAAACCCCTCGCTCTCTGTATCATTGTCATTGCAAGATGAGAAGAATTCCTCATCCGTCATCGCCCCCGGGACCCTCCTTGACTTGACACTGACCACCACATGATTCATGTCATACACCTTTGCCTTCCACGGACCAACGGCCTCTGTCCGTTCCTGCCGCCGCCATGTGAGCTGCGGGAGCAGCACCGCTTGGGTGACGTCGATCCCCGGACGGAAGATGTTGGTCTGTGACATTGCAGAGACCTCCTGCTGGACCTCTGCCTCTGAGGCCGGGGCGCCTGCCCCCTCCAGCGCGTTCATAATCTCCTTGTCCTTGTGGTTGATCATGAACAGTGAACCCGGCGGCACCTTGCCGTCCTCCGAACCCTCCCCGAGGAAGAGTATGGTCTGGTCGGAGCGCTGGATCTTGAAGCCATCGAAACCGGCGAGGGTCATGTCGGCGCGGAGGTTGGCGCCGCGCTTCCAGACACTGTAGGTGTCGGAGGGCGCGATGCGGGAGATGAATGGGATGACGGAGCTCTCGAAGTGGAAGGTGATCTCCATGTAGAAGTCCCGCATCCGGTGCATGGCAGCGACGACGCGGGGAAGGCGGCGGCACCACTTGGCCCAGGCGAGGGGCTGGTAGTGGCGCACGATGACGCGCGCCAGGGCCTCCTCGCGCGCGCAGATGGCCTCCTGGAGCGCGCTCCAGCCCTGCTCGTTCTGCAGGCTCCAGTCGGCGCCGGCCGCCATGAGCATCTCGGCCGCCGTGGCGTCGCAGAGGCGCACGGCGAGGTGGAGCGGCGTCTCCCGCCCCGGCACGTCGCGGCGGTCGATGACCGCCGAGACGGCCTCGGCGCGGGCCTCCTCGGCGACGGAGTCCGCCTCCGTCCGGATCTCCTCGGGCCGGCGCGCCCGCGGGAGCGCGTCCAGCACGCGGCGCAGCGCGGCGTGGTCCCGCGCCGCCACGGCGTGGTGCGCCGGGCTGTGCGCGTACCTGGCGGCGTCGACGCCGGCCATCGCGGCGTCCGTCCGCGCCCGGCGAACCTCGGCCCCCCAGGAAGCTGAGGGAATCGGAGAAAAAAACGGCGCCTCTGCTCCTCGCTCTTATCTGCGGCGGCAGCGGAAGGTAAGGCTTGAGCGGAATGGATGGCGGCGGAAATCAATTGCCCAGTGATACTAAAGAAAAGAGCTTCCTTTCTTGCTTACCAGTCGCCCCCAATCTTGGAGTTCCTCCCTGCTTCCTTGCCTTGCCTCTTTGGGTTCTCTGCTCCCCCTCCCCTCTCTCCTCCCTCGGCTTGGCTCTGTTGTATTACTCCCACCCTCCGACCCTCGTCTCCTCTCCCTCTCTCTCTCCAGACCCAGGCTAGAGTAGACTGGGCAGCGCCTCCCCCTACCCTCACGTCATGAGGGGCTTGCCCAGGAACAGGGGAAGAGAGGGAAAGTGTGTGTGTGAGAGAGAGAGGGACACCAGAAGCAGCCTTGCAATGGGGCGACGTGAGAGATTGAAAAGAGAGCAAGACGAAAGGGGTGAAGAACTTTTGTTTTCTTCTCCCCTTCTCCTTCTCCCCCTCTCTCTCTTGTTTCTCTCTCTATCTACACATTTCTTCGGAGGGAGGAGAACCGTTTTGTTATGCGATTTTGTCCGTCTCTGTCTACACATTAAAATTACGCCGCTGATTGATCGCTAAGTAATCAATTGGCGTTTTATGATTGTTTTGAGCGTTTTGGATTTTATGATACGTCATGCGTGTGCCCACACCCCTGCAATGCGCTGCAGCAGAGAGCAATAGGGGGTGAAGTCCATCCTCAGACCACAGCGTTGCTTCGTCTGTGGTGTCTGTTTCACCAACATGTCCAGTGGACATGTCTGGAAGGTGAGTGAGGCTATGCTTCCATCAGTGTGATAGTTACTTTGTTTCGATAATTAGGAAATTAGATGACTTCTCGGTAAATTGCTCTAAGATTTGTGAGCCGACCGTAAACTCTACTCCATAACCATGAGCAATGCTTAAATTGTTGGGCTAGTTTTGGAGCACAAACTTGTGTCTCTTCAATGGTGGCATCTGCATGAGATTGGAGAAAACGACAATAATTTACGCATACGTTCATAACCGTTATGTCTAGCTTGAGCTTTTGCATATAAATTGCTAGAGAAAACGACAATAATGTACGCACATGCTCATAATAGTTCATGTCTAGCTTGAGCCGTTAACATGTTGTATACAATTTTTTTGGAATTATCGACAGATAATATAAAAAGATGTGTACTCCATACTATGCTTGTTTTATACGTAATAACATCATCAATTGGCTTCATTTCAAAAATTGAAGAGCTAAAACCATTTGGTTCCTACTGAACCTGCAATGGTTTTTGATTTATATGCCTTTGTTCCCTAAAGAAGTAAAGAGTGATAACTCATTGATAAGTACATTGTCAAAGGTTCAAAATTCCTCTAAGATTTGTGAGTCATAAGACACCAAGTGTATAACTATAAACCCTACTCCATAACCATGAGCAATGCTTAAATTGTCGTGCTAGTTTTGAAGAACATCCTTGTCTCTTCAAAGGTGGCTATCCGCGTGACACAGAGAAAACGACAACTATTTGCACATACGTTCATAACCGTTATGCCTAGCATGAGCTGTTGTACAAAATTTTGTCGAGAAAAAGACAATAATTTGTACATATGTTCATAACCATTATGTTTAACCTGAGCTGTTGAGTTGTTGTACACAATTTTTTGGAGTTATCGACAAAGAATTAATGAAAAGATGTGTACTCTATACTCTGCTTGTTTTATACGTAGTACATCACTAATTGGCTTCTGTTTCTACAATTGAAGAACCTACAATGTTTTTTGATTTATATGCCTTTGTTCCCTAAAGAAGTAAAGAGTGATAGCTCATTTGATAAGTATAGTGTCAAAGTTCAATATTCCTCTAAGATTTTTGAGTCATAAGACATCAAATGTATTACTGTAAACTCTACTCAATAACGATGAGGAATGTTTAAATTGTTGTGCAATTTTGAAATACAAATTTGTCTCTTCAACGGTGGTTGTCCTCGTGACACGGAGAAAACATAGCAATTGTTTGCACACACGTTCATAACCGTTATGCCTAGCTTGAGTTGTTTTATACGATTTTTTTAGCAACGACAACAATTTATGCATACATTCATAACCGTTATGTTTAGCCTGAGTTGTTGATGAGTTGTACACAATTTTTTTGAGTTATCGAAAGAAATAAGGAAAAGATGTGTACTCCATACTTTGCTTGTTTTATGCGTAGAACGTCATTAATTGCCTTTAGTTTCAAAAAAATGAAGAGCCAAAAACCTTTGGCCCCTATGTTTTGGTTGGTTCTCTATGAACCTGCAATGGTTTTTTATTTATATTTCTTTGTTCCCTAATAGGCAAAGAGTGCTAATTCATTTGATAAGTACAATGTCAAAGTTCAAAATCCTCTAAGATCTATAAGTCATAAGACATCAATTGTATTACTATAAACTCACTCCATAACCATGAACAATGCTTAAATTGCCTTACTAGTTTTGAAGTACAAACTTGTCTCTTTTATAATAAGTATTTGTGCACACATCCATAACTGTTATGCCTAGCTTGAGTTCTTGTATACAATTTTTTTTAGAAAACAACAATAATTTATATAGATGTTTGTAACCATTATGTCTACCTTGAGCTGTTATATACAAACTTTTGGAGTTATCGACAAAGAAATAATGAAAAGATGCATACTCCATAAGCTGCTCGTTTTATATATGGTAAAATCATCAATTGGCTTTTGTTTTCAAAATTGAAGGGCCCTATGCTTTGGTTGTTCCTCACGAACCCACAATGATTTTTGATGTATGCCTTTGACGATGCTACTCTTTTTTCCAGTTCAATTGTTATAATAGGAAAATTCTGGAAGTGATATTGAATTGAGCATGACAAAACTATAAAACGTGCATTCCATGCCCTCTGTTTGTTTCCTCTTCAAAAACGAAGAAAAACTATTACTCCCTGCATTTTGTGTCTCTCTTCGTCATTGAAGGGCCGCCATTATATTGATAAGAAAAAAAGTTAGTTGCAATTTCCTTATATACCTCACTATACCACTTTTTTTTTTGTACCATGTCTTTCCCTCTACATCTACAAGACTACAAATCTACAACCTCAACTCTCCTTCATGTCCAGCTTCTTGTCTGAAAACAAACCCACCTGTTTTTTTGCACAAGTTTGCAGGAAATTTCCCTTTGCTGGAGCTGGACATTGTTGCATGCACAAACGCCGTACTTTCAGGTAGAGACCACATAGCACCCAGGTAAAGAAAGTGAGAAAGATGAGGAGGAATGGAGAATGGCAGACGACGCGAAAAGGGTGTAAAAGATTGATTGTTTACCCCGATCATACCGGCATGATTTTGCAGAGGTCCCACGGCGCCCCTGGACCACCGAATTATTTAGGCAGGATTTCGAATTATTTCGCAATGAAACTCCCAGCGCCAGAGCCAGGCAGGGGCAGAAGAAGCCCAGAAACAGAAAGGGGACATGGACCCGGCTACTCGCGGCGAATTTTTATTTTTCAATCATTTTTAATCAATATTTCAACGTTGTTGCGCCGACGCATGTGACGCGGCAACATCGGCCATGTTGGATGGCGTTTCCGATGTAAAAAAGCTTGTCGGTGGCGCGACAGTATTGTCTCGTCGTGCCACTGGGAGTGGCGGCATGACAAGACTAAATTTTCGAAAAATCATAACTCTTCAATACGAAGTCGGATGAAGATGATTTTTATATAAAAATTATAGATCTCGACGAGATCTATAACTTTCTAGTTTTAAGTTTTTTCGTTTGAGAAAGTTAAGATACTCAAAAAAATAATATAAAATTTCAACACCATAATAATCGCCATTTAAAAAATAATATCTTTTTTGTATGGTGTCAAATCAAGATACATTTTGTATCAAAGTTATAGCTCTTAACGAGATCTACAAGTTTATAGTTTTGAGTTTTCATATTTAAGGTCGTTAACATACTCTAATAACTAATATAAAGTTTTAATAGCATATTAATCGTGTATCAAAACTTATCTTTTTAGAAAAATCGTATATTTCTTATTTGATGTCACGTAAAACTACTTTTTAAATAAAAGTTGTAGATTTTATTGGGACCTCCAAATTTGATATAAAAAGTACCATCGTTTGACATCATACAGAAACAATATTATTTTTCTAATGCGACAATCACAAATACGCGATTATTATGCTATTAAAATTTTATATTATATTTTTGAGCATCTTAACGACTCCAAATGTTAAAATTACAAACTACAAAGTTGTAGATCTCATTGAGAGCTACAACTTTTATGTAAAAAGTATCTTTATTTGACAACATACAGAAATGATATTATATATTTTTCTAATACGACAAGTATTAGTACGCGATTATTATAGTTCTAAAATTTTATATTATTTTTTGAGCATCTTAACGACTCCAAATGTTAAAACTCAAAACTACAAAGTTGTAGATCTCATTGAGAGCTACAACTTACATGTTAAAAGTATCTTCATTTGACAACATACAAGAACGATATTATTTTTCTAATACGACAAGTACTAGTACGCGGTTATTATGCTCTAGAAATTTTATATTATTATTTTTGAGCATCTTAACGTCCTTAAATGAAAAAAACTCAAAACTACAAAGTTATAGATCTTATCGAGAGCTATAATTTTTATATAAATTTTATCTACATCCAACGTCGTATTAAAGAGTTATGATTTTTCAAATATTGAGTCTTGTCACACCACTCCTGGTGGCACGACGGAACAATACTATCACGCCAACGGGAGTGGCGTGACAACGTTTTTCACGTCGGAAACACCGTCTAACGTGGTGGATGTTGCTGCGCCATTACACATTGTCGCGCCAGCCAAAAAGGTTAGATCAGAAAAAAAAATAGAAGCGATTATTATTAAAATATTGAATAAAAAAGGATTAAAAATAAAAAAATCCA